GGCGAACCTGGTTAGCTCGTCCGGGGTGCCAAGAGCCAGTGACGCTTCGAACGCTGGAATGTGGCAGCTGCCGGGGTGCACAGCTCAAGCCACACACCGGGAGGGCTGCAGGGAAGTACAGAGGGGCTCGCTTCGTGTCACCACTGGGTGGGAACTGCACTGTAAAGGAAATACAGCTTTGAAATGGAACGAACAACGGTGGTGTTGCTACAGTGGAGATCGTGGGGGAGCTGCTCGTACCCCCGGGGGGGTATTGTGTCTCCCGCTTCCCTTTTGGTACTCTGTGGGGCTGCCCAGACTGCAGCGTCACCTCGGCTCCTGCATGTGCTTTGCTCTGCAGCTGACTTCCAGCTCAGAGACCCTGAATCGTCACACAGACCCCCTCCTGCTAGACACAGCAAACGGACATTGTTTCCGTAACTCCCCTGGGAAACCGAACAAAAACGCCGCCTTTAACGAAGCTTCCAGTCTTCCTTCCCCCTAATAAATAGCAAATAAAACGTTTTTCCCCTTTCCCTTCTGCACCTCTTCATCTACGAACAGCACTACGCTTCCTGTCGTGCGCGGGCCACACGCGCGTCTCCACGGGCGCCTTGAATTTCATTCCGGAATGGAGAGTTTGGGGCTGCAGCCGGGGGCAGGGAGGGGGTGTTCCTGCAGAGCTGGCGCGCGCCCGAGGGGCTGCGCACGCCCCGCGCTGTCCGGGCCGACCGCCGGCTCTACCCAGCCCTGCTGGCACCCTGATTATTTAAAAAAACGCACAGGCTGTCCCGCCCTTCGCGGGGCCAGCCACTATGCTACAGTAAAACGTACAGGAATCAAACATTAATTTAAAACCCCGTAGCAGTTAACTTGCTTGTCCAGCAGAGTGCTGTGATGCCCCACATCACCCACGACAGCTCAAACGCCTACCGAGAGGAGGGCATTTCATGCTGGAGTCTCCAACCCACCCGCGGCCGGCCAAAGCCTTCGGGTGCAAGGTGAAGTGGTGCCAAGTGCCAGACTCTCCTTCATGAAGCTCCTTCGCTAGCGCAGGAGACAGAGTCCCACCTCGCCACCAGCCACCTCTGACCGGAGCAGCAACGGGGGCTGTCATTGCTACACACTGACTACGAAGCACGTCTGTGTACGGAAGAATTCAGTGTGATCTTACTACTGAGATAGTAATAAAGATGTTTAGGAGTAATTTCGACTACATTCTCAGTCAGCAAAGCAATCATTAATGGATTCCTATTTTTAATCTCCCCAACGAGAGGAAAAGGATCGAGAAGTTCTCATTGGCTTCTCCCATCTGCCCTTCCTTCTCAGCTTTTACTTCCCATGTGGCTGGGGACATGCACGATGGAGAAGGTGAGCAGCGGTGATACCGGGTTACCGAGTGAGACAAGCAGCAGTTCCTCTCTCCCTCCTGAGGGCCCAGGGATGGGAGAGTTCCTGATGTCGTTTTCTCGCACTGCAGACGTTTTGTGCACACTCAGTGGGTTGGTGGAGCACTTACGCCCTCCTGACAGCAAGGAACAGAAGAGAGGGCTGCCACCTGCACAGGACTGTGTGGGCCAGTCCTGCAAACCCAACATGCCATGGTTTATGGAGCCTTCGCTTGCAAGGGTCGCCACCTCTTCCTCAATGCGGCGGGTTCATGGTGCCTTGTCCGCGCTGTTGCTTCTGCTTCTGCTGCATCAACAGCTGCTCCAGGGCTGAGGGTCCAGGGTGCATCATGGAACTGGACCAGATGGACTAAAAACAAACAGCCAACACTAGCACCTCCTCGCCTCAGGCAGCCCTCCTCTTACAGACGAGAAAGCAGAGGCAGTTGTCTACATTCGCCCTCTTTCCCACTCCTACCTGGTTTATCAGGAAAGTTAGCCAGGCTTCAAAGGCGGCCTTCTAAAGAGAGGCTCTCCGGAAGAAGCTTTCCTCCTCCGGAATCCTCATCACCATAAAAATTCATCCCATATTAACGATTACTAATTTTAGATTAGTCAAAGCAAATGTTTTGATTTCTTCCAGTTCTGCCAGCCTGGTCTTGTTCTGCACAATATTCTAGAACAGCGAGAACTGGAAAATGGTGACGACCTTCTTCCAGCACCGGTCCCACCTCCCACGCTGCCTACGTAAGTGAATCTGCAGCAACACCCTTCGGCTTCCGACGCTGAACTCGGATGCTCACAACAGGCTACAGCCCATCGCCAGGTCCTCCAGCCCCACAAACAAGCACCCACTCCCGGGCTCCATTTCGGTTCAAACGTACCTTCAGGCTCTCCATAAGCACAGCTGAGGAGTCCTCCATAGCAGCGGGGCCTTGGGCTGCCCAGGTGCCACTGGGAGCACTGGACTGGTGCCAGCTGCTCTCCGAAGACGACGACGTCGCTGGGAGATAGTCCAGACCGAACCCCCCCATTGCTGAAACGGGAGAAAGACAAGTTCAAAGGGATGTAGCAAAACCACCGCGCCGCAGACGCCGACGGCTGGCTTCACGCAAGCCTGGCACCCGGCACTTGCCTGGCTTATCTGTTTTCCAGCGGTCCGCAACTCTCCTGTCTCTGTTGTCTGGAGTCCCAATGGGTCCGAAGTTGGAGAAGGGAACGGAATTGTGGTTATGGGTTGGAGGGGAGCTTGGCAAGCTGCTGGGGTTGGAGGAGTGAGGAGACTGGCTGGCTGGTGTCGAATGATCTAGTGATTACAAGGCAAGGGGAAAAAGGAAAAAGGTCAGTGGAAACGGCAGGAGCCTCTCGATTTTGAATTGCTTAGTGCTGCTGCAAATTCTGCCATCACCCAGTTCTCTCCAGTGCTGAAGGTCACTTTTTATTCCCTCCATTACGGGAGAGTAATGCTTGAGTTCCGAGTGAAAACTTTTGTCCTACACAAGAACAGAGCGGCTGTGTTTAACGCATGCTTGTGCTTACCCAAAAACCAGGAAACTTCAAGAGGCCTGGCTAGCCAAAGTGAGTTTTCCCCACGTTTCTTGAATAACCTTTCTAGAACTAAAAAAAAAAAATTTCTGTCTCCAAGCTTCACAAACCAATAAAAAAAGAAAAAAAGCATTAGACCTTGAGGAGTTTGTCAGTTTACAACTTGAACTCTCAAGTCTGTGGATGTTTTACACTTCTATGAGTCTTAAAGCAATTCGGACCAGAACCCAGCACTGAGCAAAGGAGAAGAGCGAGCATGGAAAAACCTGTCTGTGGGCAGGAGAGAACGATGCCCAAAGGCAACACAGCATATCAGGGTGGCGGGAGGCTACGCAGTCTTGAATGAAGAGGGGAGAGAAAGCTGAAGCCACGTGAGCTATAAAACCTGCTAGAATAAAAGCGCTTTGCAGCTCCTTCCATTTCACCCACAACAGTCACTCCTGGTCGGTTGCAAAACCGAAGAATTTCATCCAGTGCAGATGTTATTTACAATCCACTCGTTTCTTAGATTCAACTAATTCCTCCCCTCACGCTCTTCTGGAATTTTAGTGAGAATAAAATCATTGTATAAGTTATGGTGTATGCCTTTAAGATAATTACTACGGAAAAAGCTGGTTTGCTTTGCAGGCTGCCTAACAGTGAAAAAACCCCAGCCACTGTCATATTTTCCTCCACACTTCAGTCATACAGTTTCTTTCTCTTTCAAGTATCTACGTTACGAAATCCAGTTCTTCCTTCTTTTTCCACAGAAGCAACACTGAAAGTATTCGGTGTTTGAACTAAAGCCCTGCTCCCAAATGCTTGTCAGGAATCTAACATGAAGGGATTTCAGGATTTAACATCTCCTACAACTTTTATCCTGCTCAACTCCTTCAATTAAAATCCAGGTTCTTAGGCTATATTAATTACAGAATCCCCTCATATTTCTGAGGATATATAAAGAAAATCAAATAGAAACCTTCAGGCACCTTGTCAAGCAGTTTTTTTTGAAATGTCTAGTTACATTTAACCTGCAGTAGGTTCAGAGTTAACTCAAATCCTTTTAAATCACTAGACACAAGAAAAACCATACCAGGATTACCTGAGCTGGCTGGAAGCGATGGAGACCACGGAGTCCCTTCAAAGAGAGAATATAGTGAAGTCTCCTGATGGGCAACTGAAGGGGTGACTTCTGGTTTTGTGCTGGTATTCATGTTTTTCCCATACACCTCATTGAACATGCTGTTGTTTGGATATCTTTCCTGCAAAACAATGAATGTAAGAGTTTAGGTATTGGATTTATTTCAAACGCCAAGACTGTACAAAGGAAACAATTATAGATCCAAATATTTTCCTAACTCCTTTTTCACTCCCCAGCCCCCTCCTCTTCGACCATTTTACTCAACGTGAAGACCACCTCATTCGGAATCAGGACAGATTTCTCCCGTCTAGACTGCAAAGCCTTCACAAAAGTCTTTAAATTCCCAGTGCTCACAGAAATTGCACCAAGACCCTACTCAGTTCTCTGGAAGAGAACGGGTAACCCACTGCTCAGGAGATAAAAACCTACACACCGCCAGACTTTGGGACGCACCTTGTCAGCCCAGTCCATGATTCTGCTGAGAGCAAGGGGCCCGCAAACTCAGCAAGATGCAACAGTACGTCTGCGGAACTACAGCGAGGATGAATTTGGGAAGAAAACTGATAAAGGCAAATATAATCTTGCTGATACAGACTGAAATCAGGCACCCATACGGACTTCTTCCAGGTTTTCCACTGGTTTGAACTAAAGGATATCCCCATATTTCAGCCACGTTACCCAGTTTTAACAGTAAGCTCAAACAGCAAAGGGCTGCAGACTCTGGTCCTCACTTACCTGATTAAGAGAAAAGCCACTGAGGGACAGGAAAGATGACGACTGAGACATCAGTTCTGATGGTTTTTCCAGCAGGGACTTCTTCGGAAACCACAAGGGGAAAAAGAGCAGTTAGTGTTTGGTGTAGCGAGCAGGAGGGAAGCATGCTCTCAGAAACTGCCACTGTGTTTTCGGTCACATTTAAAACCTCCCTTGTATTTTAGCTCCAGCATCTTAGAGGACAGGGCGAGCGAACTAACAAACACAGAAAATCAGTAGTTTCCCTGCTCACTCCAATTAATATCTAAAAATCAACAATCCTGACAGCTGAGAGTCTCAGCCACACCCCACTGCCAGAACAGCTTTTCAAATCCTAAGTGTACACTCCGATATATATCTAGAGGGGAGATTCCTGCCCAAATCCCTATGGTTGTGTAAAACCTCGTACAAGCGAGACAGGATCCTTCCCAGTGACCAGAGGACTCCTTCAAACATGATTAGACTCTCCTATGCTGCCACCGACAGAATATTTTTCAGTTTTGAAAGCATCCCTGCTCTACAGACATTCTGAAGACAGCAAGAGCAGCCTAGCGCTCTGATTTTCCAACTGGGTTAAACAGTCCAAGTTTCACTTAGCACTCTCTCTGTAGAGAGGAAGGAAAAAAACCCCAGTGTTTAAAACAGAGGTTCCAGAACTCCTCTGGGGTTCCATGTTCAGATATTACAGATCTTTTCCATCATCTACGCTACCCCCTCTCATACAGCTGTTATTTCCAGCATAATATTTCTCAGCTTTCTGTTCGGTTCTTACTATGATTAAGCAGTGAAAAATAGCGTTTCTGAAACAAGCCTATTTAGGGAAGAAACAGGTTCAGTTCTCATCAATACAGAAACCAAAGACAAATCACAAAGCTCAGTTGGCGAATAACAACCACCACCAAATTCAGGATAAGGATCACCAAGCCACAGAATTACAGAAGCCATAAGCAACACTGCGTGATCCAAAATGAAAGCTGCAGTCTCGTTCCAAATAACAGCCCTCTTGCACTCATAACAGCTCAGCATGTCAGATGTTCTTAAATTTGTTGTTCAAACAACAAAAACCTGAACTAGCATCCCTCTCTCTAACACGGCCTCAGTATCTGGAATATCTTTGCTTTTATCCTGTAAATCTAAGACAAACAGCCTCATTTTCTTGGCAAGCAGCTCCTAGCTCGTTAGATTTTCAAAGTGACAACTCATTACTTTGAAAGCACATTCAAAAAGGCAGACAAAATCCACCCTCTGCATATCCACACAGCTTACACAGAGAATTTCCTGCCATTTGTCAGTAGACAGCAACAGCAGGAGCTTCAAAGGCAGCTGCTGAAGAGGCAGCTATTAGTCACTTCGCAGAGCTATTTAACGAGACAGAAAGGGGTGTCTGTTTTGCTATGGGCTCCTTGGGGTGGCATGCAAAAAACTGAGTAGACTTCATCAGAGATTTCGTGTAGAGTCACAAATAATTCTTTGCTACTAATCTGAAAGAGTAGTATTTAATGAACGTGCTTTTAGCCACACTAGAAAGGCGTACTGCATTTTCAGAGGTTATTCACAAATCCAGCAGCTCTAAGACCCTCCAGCTAGTGAACTAGGAAGGTTTTAATGCATAAATGTAGGAAGAAAAACCCCCTCCCAGTCTGTCAAAAATGATTACATTTCTACAGAAGTTACTGATTATTTAGCCAGTTGCTTGTAATGTTCTCCCAAAGCCATCTTCCTCTTTCACAGTCTCTTCTGCATTTAGTAGGCCAGTTTCCCCCCGCATTTACAGAATTTTTATCTGCAGATTACAATACGTCCCGCTTGTTCTGATGACTTCCCACCGCTGAATCTGTGCTCCCCCTTGCCCTTGTTACTAAGCCCATACAACTGCAGAAGAGTGACTCCATGAAACGATGCATCGACATCTCTCTTGTGGACTGTACTTACAAAAAACCCCGCCGTTACTCTGATTTCGGAGCCAACTGCCAGGCCTGGATTCGGCCCAAGCGCTACACCGTCGGCCTTCAGCTGGTCCGAGCTCTTGCACGAAGACTAGCTCAAGGGTGGTGAGGCAGGGAAATAGACAGGTGGGATGGGGGAGAGGAAGGAATTTCACATTTCTTACAATTCCACAGAAGAGAGAGATGCCAGTTAAGAGTGAGAAGCAGCAGTATTACATCAGATACATACAAAGAGGCTTCGTCCAGGAAGAGAGGCGAGAGGCCCCAGCAGAGCTGGGTAAAGATCAGGAGGATTAGAGAAAATCAGCTCTTCCTCCTCCTCCAAGGCAGCCAGACTCTTTAACAGGTCCGGAGGAAGCAGAGGGGAGCTCTTGGGGTCCTAGTGACAGAAAGGAGCACAGTGAGACAACAGAAGGCAGAAAGGGGAACCGCAGGGAGTGGTGAGGAGAGGCTAAGCCACAGCAGGATGAGAGAAAACAGCAAGAGAAAGGCAGAAGGCGGCATGCAGAAGCGCGAAGTGAGAAAGCAGCGCAGCAGTGTGTCAAGGAACGCAGAGAGAAAATGCGGAGCGGAAAACATAACTAGCCACGTGGCCTAATGCGTGCCAGGAGGAGCGCCGTACCGCCGAAACGATGGGCAGCTGGTTTTAACTAGTGGAGCATGTGCTTCCCACTGCATCCACGCCAAACACTGAACCTGTTTTCACATTCAAGGACAAGGAACACAAATCTTACAATTACTCTTCTATGGCTGACCTGTGAGTAATTTAGGTTTCAAGCAAAATTACATTTGCATCTTCTTCCCTCCTCTGTTAGTGGAGTTTAAATCCCAGAAGACTTATTTCCACTGCTAATGGCTGCTACGCCAATAGCTCATCAGATCACTGGGCCAAAACACCTCTGCAAACCTGACATCTTGACTTCTGCGAGGGACGCTTAGAACACAAGCACCATGGGCACAGCTTCTGGCCGTCCTGCACTGTGCTCGCACCAAGGCAAGGCTTCCCTTTTAGGGATGAGAACAAGGCTTTGACCCAGTTTCCATCTAAAAACCACAAGCTGACATCAGGGTAGAGGCAGACTCCTGCGTTTCATCTGGCTTCTCTCTGAAGGATAAGCCAAGTGACCTCAGTTGACCTTCTGAAAATGCTGAATGCATTCAGAGGCGCATCTGACCAAGGGTTTAAAGAGGCCTCTGTTTAAGTTTCCTTACAAACCTCACCTAAAGCACTCGGACAACTCCAGGACTGTTAACAAATACAAACATTGCAGGTTTTATAAACAGCAACGTGAAGCACAACTGCCTGAGCAGAAGCAAAAGTATTCCGTTAGTGCAACCAAGAGCTAAAAGTTGTTCGGTGCTCTCACTGCATGGTGGGATGTGCAAAAAAACAACAACAACAAAAAAACCCAAGACAAGACTGCTCCCACCATCCTCAATCTGGCTACTGCAGCCTCAGCCACTCGACACACTCAAAATGCTATACGGGTGTTAAGAGTTCTTTATCTAAAGGGTAATAATCCAGCTGCAATTATTTGGATGGCTTTTATGGTTTTCATCAGTTGCCAGACAAGAATTTCCCCCAAAACTATCAGCTGCCACGTTTCTTGACCTGACAGACACAGTGCAGAGCTCAGTGCCACATCTACACCAGCAAAACTCACACCTACTTGAAACGAACTCTTCAAGAGCCAGATCCTACATACAACCAGCCAAGTAAAGTGGCAAATCCAGCACTGTCTGTTGGAATCTCATTGACCAACACCCTGCTCCCTACTAAACAGGCTCACGTTGACCTGCCAGGGGCAATGAGGCGTTCCTGAATTGGGGAAACTTCTAGGGTTGTCAGGAATATCGGAGCCTCACTGGTTTACACCACTTACAGCATGGATCTTTACCTCAAAGGTCATCCTGGAGACAGCATCCTGCTCTGGGCGGAAGACTCCTTGCCGTTTTCCCCTGCGGTCCATGTTCGACTGCTGTGCCATCACCCTGTTGTCAGCCATGCCATAGGAAGAGTCCCAGTAGTATTCTGGCACCTTGACTTCTGAGGGGTTCTGGTTATATGGCTCCATTGGGAAAGGCTTCATTTTTTTCTCCAGAGGTTGCTGTTGCATCACGGGAGGCTGTAATGACTGTTCAAAGAGTTTTAGAGGGTCCTGGGCCTGCAGGTAATAGGGCTGCTTTACGGGCATGATCTTCCCCAGTGAGCCTTGGACTTGAGGCGGGTTCCAGAGCTGCTTTGATGAGTCTGTCTGTGGATACTGAGGCAGAGATGCGTGATTTCACCAGCAGGTATGAACAACCAACATTAACTCTATGTCTAACTCCATTCAAATTGTCTGTCTGGCTCACTTGTTATAGACATTCCACAAATATTCTGGTTTGCTATATTATTCACCAAAATTCACAGTCTTGATAGGCATCTAATACTCCCTAGTCAAGCTCTACACCAATAGCCAAGCAAAATCCTTACTCAAATCCAGTACCTTATAATCCCTTTTATTAAGGTACTGGGCCAGCATTTTGCTGCCCGGAACACCAGGAGGGTCTCGCCATCAAGTTCAGACATGCCAGAAGGGAGATTATCTCCAACACAACGTGAGCATGACACTAATCGCTGCGAGGGAATTCATCCTGCAACCCAGTTAGCCAAAAGGAAAGCGCGGGTGAAGGTTCAGACTCAGTCCTCATTACTCAAACAAGAAAACCACAAACGTCTAAGACACAAATACCTGACCAGAAATACCATCCTCACACCTTGTCTATTGACAGAAACCCCACTCCTGTAGGCATCTGCCCAGAAGTTCACAGATCAAAATTCCACGCTAAGGTCTTTAACGACAGTTTTCAAAAGGTAATCCAGGAACGCTGCCAATTATTTTTAAAGGCAGCTTAACACACTGCATCAGCCAAGTTTACCTGCTGGAATCCAGAGTGGTGTGGCGGGCTCTTCCCCAGGCCCTGCACAGCTTTTGTAGGGGACTGTTGCTGCTGTTGCTGGGCCAGAGCTTGGACCTGTAACTGGCTTGCGGACTGTGCTGTTGCCTGAGCTGGTAGAGATGAGAGGGGTTGTTGGGAAGGAGGTGGTGTCTGCTGAGGTCCCTGGGTCATTGGCCCTGGTCCGGAGGGCCGTTGCTGGCTGTAAGGAATGTGGGACTGTTTCCCACCTTGCACCTGGTTTCCTGCAGGCGAGTGAGCTGTGGGCTGGAGGAAGGTTCCTGGGACGGAAACACCACCTGGGAAGGTGTACCCTGTGCTCATGGAGAAAGCCACAGGAGGGGGGACAACATAGGTTGGAGGTGGAAACCCTGGAAAAGAAAAACCCACCTTTAATCTCAATTTGGCAGAGCAGATAGCTCCCTCCAGAAAACATTCAGTGGGTTTTTTTCTTCCTATTTCGCTCATTTAGACCATGAGGACAGGAAACACCGGTTCGCATACCTGCACTCTAATGCCCTTTCTCACCTTTGCCCGTACACGGCTCTGTTCACAGGGGGATTCAGAGCTTGTTCTCAAGTTTTCTTGCAATATTCCAGGCACTGATAACAGTCAGCCAGGGCAGTATGTGGGAGAGTCATCTGTTTCCCCACTCACCACCTCAATCTCCCTGCTTTCCCCCCACCCCAGCCTTTTTCCTTCACCATTCTGGGGGGTTTGATGCTTCACCCCCAAAGTTCCCAGCTCCTCAAAACACACACACTTTCGGGGACTAAACTTCTGGAGCAACGGACAGAAGCAATTGATAAGTCTACTGCCTTCTCCCAGAGGATCACCGGTTTCCGGATTAATTTAGACAGAGAGACAGATGGTATAAGCAAACAAATCCTCATATCCGCAAGATCAATTCCTGGAGTTCACACTGAAAAGCCAGGTTTGGAAGGCAAGCTTTAATTCTTTGTCTTGTAGGCCAGACTTTATGCTGACTTTGGGACAGGGAAGATGTCCCTCTGTCTTACACTGAGCAGCTACACGTAATAGCCACAGGGGAAATACAGCTTCCAGCTACTTTGTGAGCAAACATGGACAGCAAGGTACGACAAGAACACTCCACAACAAAACTGGAACATGCAATGCGGCAACAACAGCGAGTAAGACCACACAAATTACAGCCTGAAACATGAGAACCACTGCAAACGAAACCAAGCTTTAAAGCAGAAAGCAGTGCGATTGATCTTTTGTAATGGAGTCCCATGCACAGAGCATGCTTCCTCCTGAGCTAGCAGAAGACTTTGTCATGTTTTGACTAACTACAGAAACAGCCTCCTGCGAAGTTCCTTGATCTCATACCCACTACCCAAGAAGGGAGGTGGCAGATTTCATGACAGACCTTGATTCCAAAGCATAAGGAAACTTACTTATCTCATTTCGGTTCTGCTATGCCCCTTCTTTATTACCTTGTAAGACTCTCTAAAACAGCTCCTACCTTCAGAGGCTGTAACAACCACTATTGCAGGATTTTCTTTGCAGTCAACAGTAAATCACGCTTCAGAAGAACGACGCAAATTACCTGGCCGGCTAGGAAGGGGCGGGAAGGCTCCTGGGTGATGAATGGGGATGAACTGAGAACTGCTGGCCTGACTTGGAGTCTGAGTTACAGGTGTTTTCCTGGCTTCAGACACCGGAGTCTTCCTCATCTCCGTCTGGGATTTCACCTAACACGAAAGAAAGTAAGAAGAAATTAGGTAACTTGTAACTACCCACATCACATCTCAAGCCAAGAAACAAACTCCCAGATCGTCTGAGAGATCATTTTCTTTTCCCTAACTGGGAGAGGTTTGGAACGCAGGAACCCAGTTTGCTCCTCACTGACCTCAGGCAGGTTATACCCTGCCTGTCCTCCGGCACCCCTTGCCTCACAAAAGCACTCTAAGGATATTTACCCAGAAGACTGCAACAGGCTCCTTCTCTAGCGAGAGAGTGGGAAGCGGGCATAATAATATCCTCAGACCATAGAATGAGCTTACCGTGCTGCTCACCTGCAACGCCTTCAAACAAAAAGCGCAGATGCTGTTACACTTCTCCTAGGGCACTGCTTGAACCTAACTCAGGCTACTTACCTTCAGCTCCTTCCAAAACAAACACTACCATGTTCTTCCTAAGGAGCTGCTTCAGCCTAACCCATGGTGACGTACACAAACTCCTGCAGTCTATGAAATTCTTCTGACTGAGAGCACACAAGCCAAACAGCAGAAGTGCTTAACCTCTTTCAGTTTACTGTGTAACTGTTGTAGGTTCTGTTAAAAGAGCTGCACCAGTTAAAGGCAGAGAGAAGAATGGAATGTTTACCTGAGTCTGAGTCTGCTGCAGTCTGGGTCTTCCTGGAGAGGAAGACAGAGGGGAAGACTACTTTCCCTTTCTGTTCAGCTCGGCAGAACTGCCTGGAATGCAAGATGGAGCAGGCAGGAAAAAGACAGCAAGCAAGGAACCCAGGCAATACAGAAAGGGCCCAGGAGCAGACCTGACGACAAGCCTCAAAGGTGATCGAAAGAAAGGGTTTTATCAGGGACCAAATTAAAAAAAATTCAAACCAAACAACCCAAAACTCTGTGGGGTTTATTTCAACATCCAGTGCTGCTGAGTTGAACGGAGTTAGAGGGCAGGTCTTTCCGCCAAGATACAGTGGTAAGGGGGTAGGTGCATTAAACGCTTTCTTAAGTTCTTTTTCAAATAATTCTGAATTTCCCCATTTAGAAATTACGGGACTGTAGTTTACTTTTAGTTTAATTAAAAAGGTAGATTGTAAGACTGGGAGGTTTGGGTGTATTTTTGAGCTCCCGCTAGAAAAAAGTCAGTAGGGAACTCCACCTCAAGGTTCTGGCTGATGCCACGCACTACGAATGACGCAGCCTCTGCTCATGTTGCATCCACTCACTGCCCACCTTTGCCCTTCGTTGCATTCTGTATATTCGACTTACACCAAGCTGTCCCTTTTTTCTCCACAATGAGCCAAACATTTTCACAACCCACTCCGAGAGCTATGCGTTCTTTTAT